ATCCTTTAGTTAATGATATAAATTGAAAATTAAAGATTAAAATTGCACTCACTTATTCAAAATATGGAAAGAAAAAAAAAAAGAAAGAACTATAAGTCTTTATTTTTAATAAAACTATTAAAGTTTAATTGAATTAATAAAGTAGTAACAATTTGGTGAAATAGTAATTGTGAGTTCAATCCCTGGGCTCAGGGGTGTGTACTTAGACTCAGTGGAAACAGGACGAGCAATAACTGAGCAGTACTAAAAATAAGAACTAGAGGAGATATGAGCAGTGGAATGAGAACTGTCTAATACCATAGATTAAATAAAAGGTTCAGTTTGGAATTCTGTGTAGGTTACCTGGATTGACATACACCTGATGAAGGCCAGAGAGCACAATGCCCAAAATGTTCTGATAAAAACAACAAAGATGAGGACAACAGTCTGAATGTAAATAATAGTAACAATTTGTTGAGGCTTCAATGAAAATTCCGTCATTCAAATATGCCCAATATCAACCATTATTCAAAACAAGACATGGCTTACAGCCACATCATGTTGAAACACTGCCTCCTGTACAATCACTGAAGTTAAACAATGTTCAACCTGGTCAGTACCTAGATGGATGATTGTTTGGGAATACCAGGTGCTGTAAGCTGGGATGTGCAGGTGGTGTAATGGATAATAGATTGGAATTGTTAATTGGAGGGCCGAGATTCAATTCCAGTTGGGCTTGTTATATTCACTTACATGTAGATACCTTTGGGAAAGGTATGAATCCACCTCTTCTCTCTCCAGCTATGGGTTAATTAGTAAGTATCACAAAACCATTATGAAAAAAGAAAAAAAAAAAAAAATTCTTATAATCTAAAATTTTTTTAAATAACTTGTGTTGATAACCCATAGAAAATGAAATCAATCAAGAAAAACAACTGCTTAAAATTATTCCTTTCACAGTAATTTTAAACATATTTAAACCATTCATAATATATTATTTTTTTATCTTGTTAAATGTATGTTTTCTGAGGTATTACAGAATTTAAAACTAAGTTCTGTAAATCAATATATTTTTAAAATAAACAATACTGAAATATCACAGTTCATTCATTGCTATTTTGTTTTTCTTTAATTCTTTTAGAGGCTATCTGAAATAATGTTTATCTTTATTGTTTAATTTTCATTAAGTAATTTTGCTGAATTAAATTTCCTTTTTTTATCAAGATTAATAATTGAAAATGCTAATGCTATTTTAATATTTCCTGAAAATCATTTTATGAATCAACAAGGTCATATTTGAAAAAGGAAAAGAAAAGAAAAAAATTTCAGAATATTTTTGTAGAAATCTTTAGTAGAGTTCAGTGGAAAAAAAATGTTACAAAGATGTAAAAGAGAAAAGAGCAAGGACAAAAATGTTTAAAACAGATGTCCTCATTTAAAACCCCAGATCAGAAATACGCATTTCTGTTTCTTATTTCAATTCTTAACAATCTGATTAATGATTATAAGAGAAACATTGATTTATGTGGCAAGTTTAAAATAGAAATACCAATTTTTAAAGAATAAATTTGTATCAAGGTCAACTGTATTTCAAATATTTTTTTTTCTTTTGCTGCTATTAAAAGAGGCGGCCAATTGATGGAAAACTTAATGAAAAAAAAATCCTATAGTCCTCCTTCAAAATATGCCTAAATGTTAACAGTGATTTAAAAAAAAGACTTCCATTATCTACAAATAAAAGTAACTCTGTAAAACATTCTTAAAATTGTTAAGTGCAGAGTTACTGACTTATAGATGTGTATTTATAGGAACATGTTTGATTAGATATAAATCTAATATTTGGGAATAATGCAATTTCAAAAATCAAGTTGTCCACAAAAACATCTTTAAAATTAATCACTTTGTCTGAATTTCTTAAATGAAGCATGGCCAAATTGATAAGGCAATATCCAGGTCAGATGGCTTCCCAAGCATAAGGCTGTGAATTCAAATCTTGTTGATGGTTATATGGCTGGCCACTTGTATCCAAGGATACCCATTTACTAAGGCAGCTAGTTAATCCCTATTGCAGATGCTCGCTCAGGTACATTTGTGTTTGTTCAACACCCGCAGAGCCCACCTGTGGTTTATATTGCAACTATGCTGAGCGGACCTTAGTTACAGTTTCTGGGAGAGAGCGTGTTATCTAGTGTGATCAACAGTCTGGACAAAGCCAGCACGCTCAAAACCTCGGTTACGATGACTTGTGACTTTGTGCTAGCACAACCATCAACAGCTCCAAAAGGGTTCTGTCTACCCAATTTCACTTACAAGGCTTAAGTCAACCTGTAGGATGCTTTTCAGGCACTTTCCAAAGGTGCCGCATGCTGAGATCACCTCCCTCAGACCGATAACTTCAAGAAGTCACCTTGACAAATTGACCACGGTGAGATTTGAATCCAGGTTTCAAGGTCAGAAAACAAAATGTTCTAACCACTAGGCCACATGCCCATTGTTGATGGCTACTTCATTATTTCCAATCCATGCTGCTGACATAATGGTCATTGAATGTAAAATGACCTGAACATTGCAATAAAAATAAATAGTCAAAAATAATAATCATTGAAATTACTTTTCATATATTAACATTTACTCAGATGAATTTCGCTCACAAAACTGAGAAACAGTTATATTTTTATTTTTTAAAAATCATTCCACCCTCATGCAAGGTGATAATGCCACTAAGATGCAAGGGGTTACTGGGAGTGGCAGAGAATGGGAAGACTTTAGTCAAGAGAAAGGACAATAAAAGAAGAGGTTTCAGGAAGACCGAAGATGGCGATTGACATGGCATTGAAATTTTTGAACATTATAGGTGGCAAGGAAGCAAGAAGCTGGAAGAGAGTTCCAGAGATGAGAAATGTGAAAAAAAGAAACTATTAGAATAAAACTTATGGTTGCATCTAGTTATTTAACAGTAAAATGATGAAACCTAGTAGCCAATCTAACAGTACGCTTAAATTTACACAGTTAAGGTATCAAGGAGGAGAGTTCATTAGAACAATTATCATGAAAATATTTATAGGAAAGACAGAGGGAAGCCACGTCACAGCAGTTGGAAAGTGACTGAAGTCGAGATGCCAGATCAGGACTGATAACATTACAGATCCTTCTTTAGATTTTGCCAAGAATCTGGAGATATATACCTGGAGCACCAGACCAGATATGGCAGCAATAGTCAATGCACGGACGAATGTTAAATTTATAAATGTGCAAGATGGATTTTGATGAGAAAAATTGTCTGGCATGACACAGTGAACCAACCTTCTTAGCAGCAGATGTAGCATTTGATGCAATATAATCACTCCACTTCATGTCAGTAGAAAATGTGAGGCCAAGAAGGTGCACCAATTCATTCTTCATATATTGCATGTGTTCAGCAGTTATTTGATGCTGTGTCTGTGCGTGTGTTTACATACCTAGCAAGCCTTTTAATTGAATGGCTTTTCTTAATTCAACAACACTGTAGAACAAAATCATCATGATTATTATACATTGGTATTTTTGTTTCAAAATAACCACAGACCAATCAGAGATCAAGAAAAACAAGTATTTGATATTTAAAAGTTGTTCTCAGGGATGCTATTCACGGTCATTTAAGTTTTGCTGGTTTTTCTTTAATGAATGCATACAATTTAAAATTTTACAAACCAAATTCTCCAGTATTGATAAGAACAGAATTTTAAAAAAAGAATTATGGTAAACGCGTAAACATGTGAGTTTTCTTCATTTACTGTTCTAGTGTCAGACATAAAGCTTTTAAGAAATGGACACAGCCTGTGTGTGCTTAACAAGGGATACAAGAGCCAAATTTCTGAAAGAAGAAAAATTTTGATTAAAAAAGTATTCAATATTTGATTGCTACCATATTGCAAATATGTTCATTTCATATTATTTTTTTTAGTGTTGATATCTTAAAAAAACAAAAAAACCTTATTTACATAAGATCATACAACCTCTTTGACACTAGCTAAATGGAAACTAGTGCTCTGTATGGCATTTGTAAATGTCTCTTATGTTTCTCTATGAAATTAATAATGACATTACTGTAAATGCCTCATTTAGCACCTGTGGTACTTATTTCAAGTTTTTATTTTAAAGAAAGCTTAAATTAAGTTAATGTTTTTAAACTACCAGATCCAAATAAGCACCCTCTTTTGTTTCTCAAATATATTCATTTAGTCATCCTCAGCCACTTATTCAAGAGGGGCAATTATTTAAGTTAATTGGGGAAGTATTGGGCGGGACTCTTATTTGAGAAGGTGTGCTAAATCAAGCATTAACAATATATGAATGCTTTTTGGAAAAAGACTGATGTAAGGAGTTCAAGATACAAATTAATTTGCCACAGCTATTTTAAAAATATATTTTTTTTTTTGCTTTTTATATTTACCTTCTATGTTAAAAAATGCTATCAAAAGAGTTTCAACACGTTACTTGTGCAATATGATAAGAATTAAATGTTAATAAAAATACATATATAAGCAAAATGTTAAGAAAAGAAGTCATTGAAGATAAAAAAAAAAAAATCTATCATTGCCTTATGTTAGAAGTGCAGAAATTAAATTGTTCAAATTTTGTTAGAAATTGCATAGTGGGCCCCCACATAAAATTCTTCATTAAAAAGAACAAATCATATTTTATATATATATATATATATATATATATATATATATATATATATATATATATATATATATATATATATATATATATCAGAGATGGCATTAATATCTAGAATTGAAGAATAACTGAAATATGACTTTGCTGCCCAAACCAAATTGCTCTGTCACAACAGTTCTGTGGTACTGAATAGGGTTGAAACAAATATGTATTCATTACCAAACACAGGTGGCAGTAATGTTTAGTGGCGGTGGTGGTGAGAGTGTGAATATTTTTGATGGTAAGTTTTAATTACAGTTGTTTTATCACATGATATAAAAAAGGAATGATGAGAGAAAAAAAAACAAAAAAAAAAAACACTATTCTAAAACGACTTGTCCTTCTTTGCCATCTTCAAGTTTTCGGTTCAGGCCATATGTAAGGTCATACTCCCAGCGTAAGTTAGCATACAGCAGGTCTGTAACTAGAAATATCTGGAGGAAAAAAAAAAAAAAAAAAAAGAAGTGAAAATACTGAACAAATAATCATAGTTTAGTTTGTAGATACATGATGACAGAAGCAGAAATTACAAAAAATTTGAAAGTCATAAATTTAAGAAATGAAAACTTTACAGAAAATTTGCAAATTTAAATTTAGGTTCCAAGAATGAAAAATGGAGTTAATTTATATTTAAAAAAATTGCTGCAACAAATTTCATTTTGTTAATATTGAATTGTGCATTTAGTAAATAATGGGCAAAGTTTAAGATTTTTTTCTTTTTTATGTTTCTGTAACTCAAAGAGAGTAAAAATCTAATGTAATAAACTAATGTAATAGCCAAACCTAACTGGACATAAATCTTTTTTTAATTTTAAAAATACTTTTAAAAATCTTATAAAAAGACAAAATTTGCATTATAATTTATCAAATTTCCTACAGTATTGGTCTATATTTCTGAGATGAAGTATTATGGACATTATTTGGATTATTGTCCTCATCTTTGTTGCCATATTTATTATTTTATATTATAAATATGGCAACAAAGATGAGGACAATAGTCCGAATAATGTAAATAATGTACATAATACCTCATCTCAGAAATATAGACAGATACTGAAGGAGCAGTACGGACCTGATATACCAAAAATATGGAGACAAATTGAAAAATCCTACCAGAAACTGGCATGAATATCAAACCACCTGACATTCCTACACCGATGCAGAGACCTACAATTCATCCCTTCAGGCTTGGCACCAAGACTTCCCGTCAATTCAAGGAGAGCCTGTCCAGTCACAGAAAAAGTGGGACACACCCTTGTCCGAGAGAGAATCCAGTACAATCGTTAGATAAAACAGAAACTACAAGCTCATATCTCCCAGAGGCTTGAGGATTTTTTCAACAGTATTACTAATGAAGAAGACCAGAGAAGGATCCAAAATGACCTGGATAAATCCTTCAGACATGAATTCGATGTAGTCAATGCTCGCCAAGTAAAAAATTAGATAGATTGAAAGATCAGAAGGTGACACACAAGGTCCATCACCCACCAGTGAAAGCAGTAGTCAAGATCAGCCAATATCAGCTGAGTGCCTCTGAGAAGTCAGTATTGAATAAGGATCTCAACTTCGCCACAACCATCAGGCGAGTGCCATACTTGGACATCATTGCCAGAGTCAAGGCGGTGGCCTTAACATCCCTCAGGCTCAGGCGGATGAACTGAGATGGAAGGTGAGTCAGACCTGGGAGAAGGCCAAGCTGCCCAGGTCTAACATAACAAAACTGGAGAGGCTGGCGATCGGATCCTTACAGAGGAATGAAAACATCATCATACTACTGGCTGACAAAGGCAATGTGACTAGTGATGGACATCAGATTATACAAGAAAGCTGGAAGACCTCATTAGCAATGGTAGCTACAGCAAAGTAAAAAAGGATCCCACAATGAAAATGGAACACAAACTGTCACAGATACTAATCAAGAACAATAATCACTTCTCACCTAAGATGTATAGGCAGTTATCACAGCGTTACACCAAACTACCTCACATATACGGTCTCCCTAAGATTCACAAAGACGGTATTTCACTCAGGCCGATTGTTAGTTGACAAGACCCCGTGTGCCACCCTCTGAGTTGCTTGCTTGTAGATATAATTGACCAATTGATCGGAAAGTCTCCTTCATATGTCCGAAACTCTGCCCACTTCGTGGAAATAATCAAAGATGTTCACATCCTATCCAACTAGATGGTGAGCTTGGACGTGGTGAGTTTGTTCACCAAGGTACCCATGGAGGAGGCACTCTCAGTAGTCATTGACAGATTGGCCTCTGACTCATCCCTAGAAGAACAGACCAGTATTCCAATAGATAATCTGATGGAGATGTTGACTTTCTGTACACAAACAACACACTTCAGAATGGGATCACACATATATTGACAGGATGAAGACTTAGCAATAGGTTCGCCATTATCACCAGCAATGATGAATATATACATGGAAATGGCATTAGAATCTATATCTCTAAAGCCAACTATATGTTTAAGGTACGTAGATGACACCTTCATACTCTGGCCACACCAGGAAGATTTTCAGCTTCTACTGGACTATGTGAACTCAATAAGACCTTCGATACAGTTCATGATGAAGAAAGAGAGTAACAACACACTCCCATTCCTGGATGTTCTAATGTCTCGAACAGAGCATGGGTTCAAGACATCTGTATGCCGTAAACCGGCATTTACCGGAGAGTACCTCAATTTCAACTCCCACCATCCATGCAGCATAAAGAAAGGGATTGTCCGCTGCATACAACACCGAGCAAAAGTCATAAGTGGTGACCCAAAGACATCAGATAAAGAATTGATTGTTATAAGTAGTACCCTACAATGTAACAACTACCCTGGGTACATGGCAACAGCCCCCCAAAACTGGGATAAAGGACAACACCCAGAAAACAGTCTGCCTGCTTTATGTGAAGGGGTTATCAGAGAAAATACAAAGGATCTGCGGTCCATATAACATCAGGATAACCTTCAAAAGCTTGACAACACTTTGCAGATATCTCTCCTGAGTATGACCCCCCCCGAGAACATGACTAAAGACTGTGTATGCTATTCCGTGCAGCTGCAGAAAGAAATATAAAGGAGAGACAGGCCGCCCCCTTAAGGTAAGGCTAAAAGAACACCAGAAAGCTGTAACATGAGGGGAAGTGGAAAAATCAGGCGTGGCTGACCACATATGGAGAGAGAAGGGAGATCACCGCCCTCTGTGGGATCAGGTTGAGATCATAGACAAAGAACATCATTGGAAAATTCGTAAACTTAAGGAATCAGTACATATGCTAGGTCACAAAAATCTCCTGAGCCGACCAAGCATAGAAATGAATACAATATGGGAACCAGTAATAAGGAGTGCCAGAGAAAATTTTTTTAGAGAAGACTTAAGTGGAGTGTTGCACTTGTGATGAAGAAACATGCTCTAAGGAAGGTGAGGAGATGGTTGTTTTTGCTAAATACAGAATCACAAGTATTTTCCCTTTGTTAATGAAAATGATGATAGCTAGATCAAAGTTTTATGCCTAGTTGCAAGCTCTAACAACAGTAAGTTTATGATGGAATTAAAAAGGTGATTTTGTTTTAAGATCAGCTGACATAATTTTCAATTTTGGTTAAATGAATCCAGTCTTACTGAAAAAGATGAAGATGAAAGAAAGAGAAAATCTTAAGATGAATGGTCAATAGCAGAAGTCAGAATATGATAGTGATGTATCAACTGTAATTTTTCTGCAGTTTTTCACATGGCACTTGTAATATTATATATGGAACTAGTGATCCTTGTATTTGAAATCAATTTTAACTTACAGGCTGATTTCAAATGGAATATTTTTGCCTACTTTTTAAAGCAATAATAGGGTCTTAAAGATACTAGGAAACAATAAACCTTATTTTTAAAAATGTTAAATACATTTTATATAAGAACTGAACACAAAAGAAAAGCTTACCTCTGCTGTTGTAAATACTAAAGTGATAGCAAAGTAGAAATTAGCATTGGCACTGCCAGCATACAACCATAAATGCCATAAAAGGGGTGAGAATACTGTACAGCAGATAAACATACATGTAACAATGAAACTGTTACGTAAATCTGGAAGAAAAGAAAAGTTGCTGCTTAATGATTATATTTTTGAAACAGTTCATTTCATATAAAACCCACATTAAAAAAAAACTGTGACACAAGCCTGAGTGTCTTATAATTTTACTCAGGAAATAAAACTAAAGTTCAAATAAAAATAACTTTTATTCAGAGAGAATAAAAAAAAAGAAAAATAAAGAGAGACAAATTCACCAATAGCAAGATAAACCCATAAAGTCATAACACAGTAATTGTAGGTTTGTCTATTGTCCAATCCACATTCCACCCTGGTCTTTTGAACAGGAGTAGAGGTTTATCCCTTGTTTCCTGTTTAGGATTTAGTTTCTGGTTCCTTCTAAAGGCTTTTCATTCCCTTTCACTCCCAGTTGCCCCTTGCATCTTAGTGGCATTATTGCCTTGCTTAGTTCGAAATTAGCTTGTTTAGAGTAACCACTATAACTAGAAAAATGACATAACTAGAAAAGAAAATGTCTATAACTAGAAAAATGACATAACATAGAAGAGGATGGTAAATGATTTTTATCTGTTTTAAGTGTTTTTATGACCAGCAGTAAAGTCTGTGAAATAAGATCTTCAAGGCAGCTACTCACTTGACCAAAATGGAACAAAATGATAAATAAATGAAAACTTCTGAAAACAAGCAACACTTGATTGGACATTAGAAATTTCTGTTCATAGGCTTAGAAAAAAAATAACAGAACTGGGAATAGTTCTGGGTTGCCCACTGGCAAAAGGGTAGTAGGTTGAAGAGAATATCTGATCTGTTGTCTATCATAACAGAAGTAGCAGTTGTCTCAAGTGTCATCTACCGACCCTCACATGGCACAAGTGAATCCTTGAATAAATGACCAAATATATTGGAAACAGGAATCAAGTCTTCATTTCTCATTGTTGCACTGATTTCACCTTTTGTTCCTTTATGAATGTACAATGGACCTTTCTTAGTTGTTGTGCACACAGATATGAACAAGAATAGAAACACAACACAGAATTATTTGTTTGGTCAATGAAAGGCTGAAAAAGGACCCTTTGTATGTTTACAGCTTCACATTTTAGGAGCTACTGTATAATGGGTTATCAATGGTTGCCAACATCCATAAAAATCTTAAAACTAAATTTTTTATTAAAGTTTGCTCAGTAAATGTATTAATATGTATATTGTAGATAAAAAAAAAAAATTACTAAAAATCATTTATCAATTCACCTGAGCACAGTAATAATGCCACCAAGATGCAAGGGACTGCTGGAAAAGAAAGAGAATGAGATGACTTTAGAAGGAACCAGAAACCCAAACAGGAAACAAGTGATAAATTTCTATCCTATTCAAAAGAACAGGGTGAACTTGTCAATAGGAGAACCTATTTACTCCTATTTAAGGAAAAAAAATAAATAGCACATAAAATTTCAGAGTTTAGGTAGAGATATTAGAAGTATAGTATTGAAAGACTTTAGAAGAAACTGGAAACTCAATCCTAAATGGGAAACAAGGGGTAAACCTCTACTCCTGTTCAAAAGACCAGGAAGGAGTGTGAAAATGTTTGGAAGACAATGAAAAAAATCAATATTGTAGTGATGTTACTCATAAATGCTGCACAATATGCAGAATGTATTCTTTATTGTCTATTCAAAGTTTGCTCTATTCTGCCCACCCACAAAAGAGTAATATCTTTTTTACTTACATGCAAAAAGATGTTTCCATAAAGGCAAGAGAGCCAAAATTATAGACACATCTGAATAGCTGGGGTAAGATTTGAAAACTCCTGTGAGGAATGTGAGAATGTACATAAGAAATATTGGCTGCTCCCTGAGTCGGACAGCTAAAGGCACAGTGTAGATGAGAGCATTAATTTGAAAAACAAACAAGAAAAAAATGCGGAAGTGTTCAAACATTTCTGTGAAGAAGTACCAGAAAATGCCTATGTTTGGACTCAAATCTGGAACAGTTAGTCTGAAATGGAAAGAAAGTGAAAGTTACAATAAACAAAAAAGATAATAAAAATATTATGTCTAATTGCTAACTATATATATATATATATATATATATATATATATATATATATATATATATATATAAAGTAAAGATATAAAAGTGGACATTGATGTCTACACCTAGCTGTGCCAGTATTTCATGCTTAAACACAATCTTCAGGCCATTTGTTTTGGCTTGACTATTTATATATGCTGGTAAGTGGTGCATTATGGGTAGAAGGTCTATTGTATTATCTTAACAGTTATTGGATGAGCAATAACCGTTATGTTTCAAATTATTCTAGATAGTATTGAGTAAAAATAATTATAAATTAAATCAATAAATAAACAAATTAAGTAAATAATAATCAAATTAACAAACTATGAATGTACACATAAACACAAGTAAATGTAATAATATCAATCAATGCCAAATAATAAAGTAGTCAATAATAGATAATGAGTAAAAAAACTTAACAAACAACACTATAAAATAGCTACAAATAACTGCATTCAGATCCAGAATTATTTCTGTTAAATAGCACATAGAATAATTTGAAACATAACCATTACCATCCACCTACCCATACCCAATAACAGTCAGGATAATACAACAGACCTTCTACCCATAATGCACCATTGACCAGCATATGCAGAGTCCACCAAAAAAAATGTATACACACTTCAGGAAAGGAAAAACTTATATAGATATTGTAATATTAAATTTATTCAGACATCATAAGATTAATACATGTTACCATTGGACCCTATCATCACAAGAGGGTGCTCAAAATGGTGGCCTTTAGCTTCCAGACATTTATGAGTACAGTGAATTACTGCTTGGGCAACGTTGGCCAAAGATTGCAGCACATGCACTTTCAATTTCTTGTCTAAGGCCCACCAATGTAGTCAGTTTTCTGCAATACATAACATCCTTTAGGCTCCCCCATAGGTAAAAGTCTGCAGGTGCTAAATCAGAAGAACGTGGGTGAGAACTCAGCTGCACCTCTTCATTCTAGCCATTGTTTTTGCAAATTCTTATTCAGATAAGCTTGCATGTTTTGCTTGTAGTGTGTTGTTGAAAGAAAAATTCATCATTTCCATAAAGTTCATTTATAGCAGGTAATATGGAGGTGTGTAGTATGTCTAGTTACGCTTGATGAGTAACAGTATATTCAAAGAAAAATGGTCCCATTAAGACTCTAGATAACACTGCACATCAGGCATTGATTGCTTTGTCCACATGCAAGTGAGGATTTTCCAGCGCCAAGTAAACACAGTTACATCGGTTCACTGTTCCATTTAGTTTAAATTGTGCTTCATCTGATGACACAATCTTTTTCTCCAGCTCTTCGTCCTCACTTACCATGTGTTGAAACTACTCACAAAATTGGATTCTTTTATTTGGATTGTCTATTAATTGCATGTAATAATCTTTGGAAGTAAACATTCCACTTAGCTCTTTTAAAATATGCTGTATGTTTGTACTGCTTACTCCTGTTTCTGTGCACATTGTGTGGTAAACTTCTGTGGCAAATGTGTGAACTGTTCCAACACCATAGCCAAGGAAGCAACACTTGTTGCTGTATGTCCACCGGATTTTCCTTTTTCTGTATAAATAGCCTAGCCAAAATGCAACATACATGGCCTGAAGATTGTATTTAAGCATGAAGTAGACTGTTGCCACTGGGTTTTGGCTTCAATGTTCACTTTTATATTTACATACACTATACCTGATAGAGAACTTTAACCTATAAATATAGCATACCATAAAACTATATTTTTACCACAAACACACACTATATATATGTTAGAGATAGATAGATATGATTGGGGTTCAAATATGAATTGGAATCTGACAATGATAAGACAAAGAACAAATAGGAAATGTTTATCAATCTAACATGTTTCATTTTTAATAAAACTTCATCAAAGACTGAGATATGGAGAAAAAGAAGAAAGAAATTCTGGTATTTTTACTTTTGTGGTGATTGATTTTTGATCAATCACCACAAAAGTAAAAATATCGAAAAAAAAAGAAAAGAAATTCTGATATTTTTTACTTTTGTGGTGATTGATCAAAAATCAATCAACACAAAAGTAAAAAATACCAGAATTTCTTTCTTTTTCTCCATATCTCAGTCTTTGATGAAGTTTTATTAAAAGTGAAATTAGATTGATAACATTTCCTATTTGTTCTTTGTCTTATATATATATATATATATATATATATATATATAAATAATACAACTGAAAATTATGCAAATTTTATAGGTTTTTCAGGTTAACAGAAATTCTACCTACCAAAAAGTACTCAATAGATAACAAAAGCTATAATATTCAATAAATTAAGAAAAGTTCAAGTAACTTATCTGGTTAGCCAACACAAGTGTTTCACATAGAAACATTTATCGAAGCTAGATGTTTGATAAATCTATCAAACATCTAGATCTGAGAAGTGTTTTGGTGCAAAACGCTCTTGAGTTGGCTAACCAGATATGTCACTTGAACTTTTCTCAATTTATTGAATATAACTAAAATATTTAATAATTTAATATGAAGTTTAAATCATTATGCTTTTAGATAAAAATATCACAATCTTTGAAAATGTCCTGGTGGGGCAGTGGAAAGAAGTGATGGATACATGCCTTTCCCAAAGGTATTAGCATGAAATGAATCCAACAACAATATTTCAGACCACTTTCCTGGTTTTCAGTACATATTTAAATATAAACAAAACTTTGATAATCACTCATGAAAGCCCAAAATACCTAGACATTGAACAATCTATATTTAAATATGTAGTGGAAACCAGGAAAATGGTCTGAAATAGAGAAAAATAATAAAAAATCCTTAACAAAAGAACTTTTATTGGTTTTTAATGAAGCTTGTATATAATATTGCTTTTTATAATTATGACTATTTTATATGAGTGAGAGTTATTGGTATGATTGTAAGAACCAACAAAGTAATTATAAAGCTTAAAAATAGGGACCGCCACAAAAAACATGATACCTAAGTTTTAAAATGAATTTTAAAAAATGAAAAATCTTGAAGCTTTTATTTTAGTTTTAATTTCAAGTTAATAAATTAAATTTAATATTTCCAATAATCAAAATACTTTCAAAACATAATTTAAATTGACTGGAAGGAGATTTTTTTCTTTTCTAAAATAACTGATTAGTGTCCTTTTTTTAGTAGTCTTTCATCGCAATGTAATGCTTTTTTTTTTTTTAATTACAAACATCTTCCAAAAATAAAATATACTTTTCTGAAATTTTATTTGAAGAATATTAGCTGATTTAAAATATAATTAATCTGATTTGAAACAAACAGAACTGATAGCCTGATGACAGATCTAATGTTGTTCTATGGAGACTATCTGTAAAAAATAATTTAAGAAAATGACATGAGCACCTTTTTTATATAATTTTTAAGTACTAAGTAATCTTAAAAATTTAGGAAAATATTCTTCGTAATCTAATGTTTTTTGAATTTTAAAAATTTGTGCTTTAAGTTTACTATAGTTATAGCTCTTATTTCTTGACAATATTGTGTACGGTCACTCATACTTACCAAAATCAGAATGAAAAAAAAAAAAAAAAAGAAAATCAAAATTCTTTTAAAAATATTGGTGTTTGATGATTTGTATTAAGCTTTTCTATTTATGATTAGTAAATATAGTTCTCACTTAATAACATTATCTAAAAGGTTGAACTTAATTCAGAATTTTAAAAGATTTAAAACTTAACTTTTTCTAACTAAAATTTAAAAAAAGAAAAAAAAGAAAAAGAAAACAATTCTTGTAAAAATTCATTATACATTGAAAAAAATTTGTTTTCCTTAAGACAATAGTGTCCTTAATATATCTTATTTATAAAAGCAATTAAAAGCTTTTCTAATTAAATTAGATAGTTTTATTGCAATTTTTATTTTTATGATTCAGAGCAGATTTTCGGTAAATGATGTTTGTTTGACAAAAATAAATCAATGATGTAAATTCCCCAAAGAGTCCTGCTTTTAATTATTAATATAAATATGAAGGGGCTGGAATTTTCATAAAATTAAGTAAGTTGGGTTAACAGATGTAAAATAAAATATTTTTACGATTTTCTAAAAAAAAAAAAAAAAAAAAAAAAAAAAAAAAAAAAAAAAAAATAAAATAATTCATTTGGGAATAAGTCCTGGAGATTTCATTAAAATCCAACAATTATTCGATTTTTGCATGAATTTTTGAAATTAATGTGTTTTTAAAGCCAAATGACGTTAAACTTTCCAATACTAATCTTTGGCCCAGCTGCTAAGGAAAACAAGATTTTTAACCAAAAATTTGAAAGTACTAGAAAGGATTAAAAAATTTAATAAAATAACCAAAAAAATACCTTGGTCTTTCCTCTTAATAATAAACATTTTGATGATAAAACTTTGTTTTTATCAAGTTTGGGGCCTTTTTCCATCATGGCATGTTTTTCTTTTCTTTTTTTTGGAGGTACATACTTAAAAGGGACAGATATCTACAAGTTTATATTATTAAAAATTATTGACAAAGTTGACTTACATAAAACCATAAATAGAAGAGACAAACTGTGCAGATTCATCCAAGTGATAAGAGACTGCCAAAAGCATAAGGAACCAGAAGGAAAACAAACCCAAAGTAGTGAGAAAGTAAACAAGTGATGAACTCTCTTCTTTCACAGACTTCTTGTTCAAGACAGAATACTGTAAGGGAAGAAAAAAGCAGTACAATGATAAGAATACATTTTTCATTTAAGATCTTATATTTAAAAGGTTCAAATACTAAATTTATTCAAATATGAGATACTGAAGTATAATAATTGTTAGTTAAAATCTCTCAGATTAGTAACTATTCTAATATGAAAATATTTTCAATAAAAAAAAAAAAAAAAAAATTTAACAATGAAAAATATGTCAGAAAGGTATTGGTATTCACTATCCTATCATTTAACTTTGTTACACATTTACTAACCTAACCACTGATCACTATTCCTTTCACCAAAGTGTTGAATTTATTCTGAAATCTTTTCATGCTACAATCACTTAAACATTACTATTTCTTTATGAAAACAAATTAAACCCATATTTATAATTTCATATGGTAGCAGGGGTTAAAAAACAATTGATTTAGATTAAAGATTTGTCCTAATGATTTAAATTATATTTACAAAATGTGTTTGCATGCAATCTACTATAGTAAAACCAGAAGGTAACTGATTGAAAAATGATGTGGGAAAAACAAATTTCTGTGGACTTACTTCTGTCATAGTATCATTTGCAACATGCTGAATAAGCACAGAAAAACATAGTATTTCTTCTTATTGAGCAATGAGACTATATTGCTATGAAGTGAGTTGGTTTATGATGCATGAATGCAATAAAAAGATATGTCCCTGAAGTTGATTATATCTAGGATCATCCCTGCAATACATGGACCATGTTGTGTTCAACAAGGTTACACAAAAAACTGAACAACCATGTAAGTAAAAGAGAGCATGCTCAATAGACTACGCCATATCATTGCAATAAATTAATTCTGGTTAATCAACCAGACTTGTTACAAAATACTTTTTGCCAAGTCAGAATGTACCTTGGATCACCAATCAGGTAAGTGATGACTCATCTTTGTTGCAGCATTTCAACTAAGACACTCAAAGCCATATGAAACGATACTCCCCTCATTAGACTGGGCTCTTTAGACTGTCTTGCATGCCCCACCCGCCAATTAATATTTGATATAATGCCTTTCCAGGTTTCAAAGAGGCTAGCTGTCATCAATGCGTATTGCCTTGTTTCAAGGCAGATGATAGACCACCCCTTCATCTAAGTGTACAATTTTCAAAGCCATAAAGGCTTTCTTGGCATTTTCTTTCCAAAATCAGGTATTATTGTCATCTAGCTTAAGAAATGTAAATCTAAGATATGCCATTGGATCTGGATAGCTGGTATCATCATAATACTATTCTCAGAAGGATATAGATAGTCAATCTTGTGAAGTGTCATAGCATCTCTGTGACTCCAAAGGAGTTTAAGAACTCTCTCTAGCTTAGTTACTTTGGTGAATAGGAGTGGAAGAACTGAAAGTTGGTAAAGGATGATAGGGTAGACAAGTAAAGAGCACATTTTGACTCCCATTCCCAAGTAAAGGCTCCTTTGAGACCATAGATTTACTGTTAATTCTCGAATAACTAATTCTTCTTTAGTTGAATGTTGAAATTGAACCAGACGTTGAGTATCTTACACAGCCTATCTAATAGAAGAGGCCAAGGAGAGGACAAACTCTCTATGAACCCAAATGCAAGCCAACATGCTTATGTTTAATTTTAACCTCTGTCACCATCTCATACAATCCGTTTTCTTTGTCAACCTCCTTAATTTGAATGCTGCTCATTACAAGTGTGGAGATATCAACTTAAATCTATCTTACATATATAATAATAATTTGTTCATGCTTTGAATATTGCTGCCACATATGGTCCAGTGCTTCTGTTATATAGAGATTCTTGATAAAATCCAAAGCAAAGTTTGCAATGTTATTGGTCCTGACCTGGCATCAGTCACTTTCCCCATTGCTGTAATGTAGCTTCTGTACATTTTCTATAAATACTTTGATGGTAATTGTTCTGATGAACTTTCCTCTATGGCACCTATGAATTTAAGCATAGTACTAGATTGTTGGCAAGGTTTCACCATTTTACAGTTGTATTGGCTAGATATAACCATAAGTTCTATACTAAATGTTTTTTTCCAATTGCACTTCTCACTTTTGAAAATCTTTTAGCTTATGGCTTCCAAGTCAACTTTGATCTTTAAAAATTTAAATGCAATGTCAATTGTTATTTTCTGTCTTCTTAATTCCTGTTCTTTTGTCTTCTCTCCTTAATAGTCTTTTTTTGTCTTATATTCTTTAACACTCAGTAACCCCCCCCAACATCTTAGTGGCTTTATTGCCCTGATTAAGGTGAAATGAGTAAAAAAAAAAAAAAAAAAAAAATAATAATATATATATATATATATATATATATTAGCGGAATACCTAATCAAGACGGTGGCACCAAGTAATGTGCAGGAGTGAGTTCAACCTCAACTTGTGCAAGAAGTTCTGACACAAGGACACACAGCACGGGCAAAAGTGGGCAACTTTGATAAAATTCATCTGGACAATATGAAAGGTTTTGATCATCTTTCACAAATGGAGGTGGTGGGAAGGAGGGGGTTATACAGCAGACTATTCCAGAAGTGAGAATCCAGCTTGAAGTTGACTATGGACAAAACAGCCTCCAGGAAATGATAGTCAACCCTATTGAACAGCTTTGACTGATCTAAATTGATCAGCATGGCTTGATCGTCGATTTTCTCAAGGAAAATTTAAGGAAATATATTTAAAGAAAATGGATAATCTTTGTTTTTCTTTTTAATATTTTCAGATATAATCCAACTGATTTCAGGAATGTTATTCTATTTATTTTAATATTTTTGAATAGTTTGCTGTTTGCCTTGGAGAAAGTGTCTTTTGGAGTCAAGATCAATGCATTCAATTAGAAAATGTTTTACTGTGTATTGGGTTTGGCATGTAGGTCACCACGGTGGTAGTTCTTGTTTCATTAAGAATGAATGCGTAATTTTAGAGTAACTTATTCATAGTTGTGTTATAGTAACCTCTTCCCTTCAGGATTTTCCATGATGGCAAGATTTTTCTCCTGAAGTTTGGTAAGATTGTATTTAGTTTATTTTGAATTTTTCAAAATTTATTAATAAGATACTTGAGAGTGAATTCAAAACAAATGACATATACTGACCTGGTGGAAAAATAAAGCTGCAGGAACACAAAGCACCAGAGGGTAAAATGACTCATAAGTAGCAAAGGCAAGACACAATGTTGAAAGAATTGTTTGAGCTGATAAAATATAAAAATAGCAGGTATATTGAAAGAAAGAGGGATAATAATAAGAATAAAAAAAAAGAGTACAGTAGTGAGAAAGCATTTTCGATAACATGTAATAATTATGATGTGATCAAGCAATTTATTTTTGTCTGATTTTTGAGATAAGGAGTGATTATTATACATTGGTTTACTTGGTATAGTGTCCCCACCTTCATTGCTATAGTCACATTTTGGCCATTGTACCCTTTAACCTGGTATCTGTTTATTCAATCAATGGGTCATGAAATGTAAAATGTCATAAATTCTTGTTCAGTGGAAGTGACATCATAAAAACAAATTAACTAGAAAGAACTAAGCAATATAAGATTTACTTTCATGTGAAAATTGTAATGAGAACAATCAACCCCAATGGATTGAATAAATGGTTTGGTTCAAAATTCTCAGAAGGTTAACAACAACAGGTTGAAGGTTGGAAGGTACAGCAACTGTAACATTGTAGAGATGAGGATATTAGTCAGATCAGGAGTTTGGCAGTTATTTTTCCTGCGGTGATATAAACCTTAACTAATGTATTTTAAAAATATTTCTCAAAATCCAAACAATTCTTGCACAAAATCTTAAAGTACAAGCAATAATTTATTATTTCTTAAAAGTCAATATGATGTAATATCTACATAAACTTCATTTTCTATTAGTGTTTAACCTTTATCACTCTGTATGTGACTATTTGCTGTACAAAAAGTTTATATCACTGAAGGTGACTAATCCCTGAACAATAATGTTTGAATTTCATAGTTGTCATATCCTGCTATGGAAAACAGAAAACAACTTTGAGTGAAGTTAACAATAAGGATATTGCATTTGAGAGGCTTTGATAAAGAATGTGGTGGAAAGGGAAGTAATATTAATAATGTAGCATGCTAAAGGTTAATACTAAAAGTTTTTCTAAATACCTTGTCAAACAGACACAAGGTCACAGGGTGGAATGCTATGCTTTATATTCTGTGCATTATTGAACAAAATTTGGGTTAAGTTACAGTAAAATTTAGTATAAAAATGAATCACAAAATTATAAAAAGAATTATTTTTTTTAATTGGTTTTATGGTGATTTCCTAAGCATTGCTTAGATGTGGCACAAGGCCAAATGAATGAAGCAGCCAATGAGGATCAAACTCACTGTTCAGTGGTAATTGATTTATTGAGACAAGCTTACTATTACACCACAATGAAGTCCCCTTTTGACTGGTAACATGCGTGAAAAAACTTAAATGTCAGTTTATATGAAGGAACTTTTACTCATCAGTATAACAACAATTATACTTTCCTTAAAAACAAAAAACAAAAAAACTCTGAGATAAAAATGATTTATATACTTTTATTAATTGTGAAGCAAATTTATATTTTGGCTTAGGTTTTTAGCTATTATTACACAATATGTAGGCTGGCCAAAAATGGTAAACTACTAGTCAGAAGACCCCATGGATTTTAACAGTGATGGATTGCCTTTAAATTTTGGATATAAGACCAAAATGGTACAAAGACAGGGAGATGGCCAAAAGAATTTGAATAAACACTGCCCACAGCAGATTCCTTATTGAGGTTAGCCAGCATGTAGCAAAATTCTAGCCAAGGAGTTTACATGCATTCTCATGATCAGATCCTCTCTGTTTCTTCATAGAAAGAAGTCTACAACTACTAATAAATCATGATAAAAAAATTGTCTATCATTGATACAGTTCATGATGTAATGTTGAGGTCTGAAGAACTGAAATCAGATATGACATGGAATTATGCAATATTTTGAACACAATCTTTTTTTCCATTTGGAGATTTTAAAACCTTGATAGTAAATTTCCATGCATTTTGGATAGCTTGAAGAGCATTGCATTTGAAAGAGCAATTTAATTGATTAGTAGAAGTTTGCATGGTGGGACATAAGTAAAAGCAGTATACTGAAAAAGTTATCATGTTAAACAAACAGCAAGAGTTCATGAAAACTGCCTTTATTAAATTCCACAAAGTTTACAGAGTCAATTATTTGACCATTATCTTATATTATAGATGTGTAATGATACAGAATGCGCTTATCTCCCTTTGATGGAGGTAAGTCATGTGGGTCACATAACAGCCACTTATTGACATTACTCCATATCATGATGAAAGCAGCAGCCAAATTCAGTTCATTTACAGCAGCCATCATGTGAGGTTGCTTTCTTTTAGCCTGGGCATTTGGCTGAGGCTAAATCTGCCTCCTCCAGTAGCTTACCTTTTCCCTTTGGGAATATATCTTTGCCAGGTATAGAATGAAACTCCAGCTCACAGTTCTCAATTTGGCAAAACCCAAGACTTGTTGTTTCCCATTCATGGAATATGTCCTTGCCTGGGACATAGATGAATCTAGCCTGTTTGAATCTGGAGTCCTAAACATAGCTTCTCCAGATCCAGGAGTATCTCCATATTATATGTAAGATCCTTCCTTTTTCTTTCTCCTTACACTGCTTTTCTGTGATATATTATTCTCCACATGGAACGTGTGTATATATGTATATAATACCCATAACAGGGAAGAAATTCAAATGGGAGAATAAATCTTTCTTCCATAGCTCTCTCTTCCATTATAGATGTTAGCAAACAGCATAGATCTGAAAGATCTGCATCCCACTTTTTTTTTTCCTTCAGGAAGTCTGCCTCAGTTGCTCTACCACTTTTGGTATGAAAACCAGTGGTGGTAGAAGATTATATCTAACAATATAGCCTTATTTCTCATTTTCCACTGTCATTTGTGATGTTTTCTTTAGATACCCTAGTAATATTATTATTATTAAATTACTTATTAGATGAAGCATTGGTAATTATTATTTTTTAAGCAGTATTTCCTTCAGTTCAATTTCAATTGCCTTCCATCAGGCCATTATTTTACAGCCGTTAGTTTTATTTATGCTATTTACATTCAAACTATTGTCCTTGTCTTTGTTGTTGCTATCAGAATGCTTCAGCCATTGTGCCCTCCGGCCTTCATCAGGTGTATATTGACTCTGGTAACCTACAAGGAATTCTGAACTAAACCCTTATTTAATCTACAGGCGTAGACAAGATATCCCTAGACATGGGCAGTGGAATGAGAACAGTTTATCTCTTGTAGATTAAATAAAGGGTTCAGTTCAGAATTCCCTGTAGGTTACCTGGACTGATATACACCTAATGGAAGCCAGAGAGCACACTGGGCAAAATGCTGTGATAGCAAATACAAAAGGGGACAATAATCCGAATGTAAATAGCGTAAATAATGATAACCCCTCATTTCCAAAAATTCAGATAGAAATAGCTGTTAGTTTTGTTGAAAAACTTCTTTTTTTTTTTTTTTTTTTTATTTCTGGTCTATATTGTTTTAATAATCTTTAAATTCATGATAGAAGGTAATTGGAGAAAAGAAATACAGGCTTAAAAAAAAAAAAAAAAAAAAAAAAATTAACTTAATAATTAATAATAATTCAAGTTGTAAGATCAATAAAATGTTTCAGAGGATTTAATATGAAATGATTTGGGGACCATGAAAAGAACCTTTATCGTCATTATATATTACATACATTAACAATAATTGTTTAAATTTACAAGTCAAAAAATTTACATCTGTGCTTGCTTTGAATTGAAGCTATATATCATGCATCAAAGAAAAAATATTAATTTCAGAAGAAAACTTGATAAATTTTAGATAATAGAGAATATTTTTTTTGTTTGTTACTGCTCATATTACCTTTCATAGTGAAAAAGAATGCAAGAAGCACCAAAAGGTTGTGAAAAATTCCAGTAGAACGAGCCAGGCAGACAGCAATACTGTAAGGATTCAACATGTGCCTTAAATCATAAAAATAAATTAGTTACAAAACAGCAAAAAGAAATTTGGAATATTAATATCAATAAAATAATATGATAATACAATAAGTATATATTTTGAAAATATAAGATAAAGTTTTAAAAACCGTTTCTTCAAAACTGATGTTATCAAAAATCTTTGCAATTTTCAACTGTGTACACATAAATTTGGTAAAAGAATATATTAGAGTAATTATTTGAAGAAATAAGACAAATAAATAAAACCCTTCACTTTTTAATGTGAGGATTAAATAAATCACCTTTTTAATTGAATTCTTATTGGACTATATTTTTAAATAATATTAATATCTCTAATTTTTATTTCTCTTAAATTTAAAGTAAAAATCATTTATTTAAAAAGCAGTTACGGGTAATGTCATATCATAACTGGACTTATTTGATAGCTGGGTTCTGGCACCATAAGGTAATTTCCAAAAGTTTTTTTATTTTTTAAAATTCTCAAAGAATATAATATGAAATTATTTTAATGATTTATTTAGATAATAAACTAATAAAGCAATAATGAACAGGTATTGTTTGAAATTCTGAGATGATTCATTATCATTAACCCCCCACCCCACACCAATTTCTTTGTATTAGTATTTTTATCTTCACTGGATTTACCATTACATTTCAGCCAATTCTCAGAATATTCAACCATCACCAGATGTGTAATTCCATCTAGTAGAAGGAGGTTCCTACTTGAGGCAGGTGACTATGTTCAGTAAAACAACAATAAACCCCTATAACTTGAAAAATGGTATTGTCACTGTCTCATAAAATTGAGAAAGTTTGTATGCATTGATCTATTCCTATGTAATTAGATCCTCTTTTAGTCTAACTAAAAAAAAAATATGTGCAGGAATCTGAGGCTCAAATCTATAACTATCTACAGTAATATTTCTAGCTAACAAACTGATACACCCCTGTAAGGATAAAATATATTGATAAAACCAACAAAGATCATATTATTATTATTATTATTTGAAAAAAAAAACAAACAAAAAAAAAAAACAAGTTTTTTAATTTGGATTAAGGAAGAATGAAATTAATTATATCTCTACACAATTGTGCTGAAACTGAACAAGACACTTATTTCATTAAATTTCATTTCCTTTAAGAAAAATAGTTTAAAATCAAAAACTCAATACAAAGAAAGTGTAAACTATTGAAGTTGTATGATCAGTTTAATAAATAAAAAGAAAAAGAAACAGTACTTTGGAAACTATACTCACGCAGCCACAACAAATATTTCAAGTTTTCGCAAGCTCTCTTTCCGCAATAAGAGAGATGAGGCCTCTGGGGAATAATTAGGGGAATCAGCTGCCTGTTTCAGGAGCTGATAGAGAAAAAAAAATAATTAAATTTGCTAGTTTTTCTCTATGTGTTTATGTTGTTTATTTTTTTTTAATATACAAATTGAAAGACAAAGCTCTCAAAATCTTGAATATGACTGATAGTAGAACAAAAAAAAAAAAAAACCTTTAGTTACCTAGTAGTGTAATGCTTAACCAGATACTGTAGACTACTAGTACTTGTACCTAGACCTAGCCTAACTATAATACTGTAATATATGTATACAATTAGGAAGAAGTCTTTCTTATAGGTCATCAAATATGTTAAAAAGTATAATTTCAAGTTAACTCTAATCAATAAGCAAAAAAGAAAAAAAAGCATCAATAAGAAAAGAAAAGAATCCAACTGACCATATATTTGGAAAAAAGGTTAGCAATCTTCAAAAGCAAAATTCCTATCAAAGTATCGGCAGCCTGAAAAATAATATAGAATTTCAAAAATAACAAAAAAAAAAAAAAAATAATCATCCAGTGCTTACATTTCTAATTTACATCAATGTGAAGGTAAATTGAATACAAAACTTCACTATCATTTTAATAGTAGTTTTTTTTTTTCTGATTCATGTAATTTTTCCCTTTATGCGGGGAATTAAATAAATTCAAATGATTATAATTGGCCTATAATAAAGTAGAAATTACATAAAGGAAACTAAAATATAAAATCATTTCCAGTGAAATATGAAAGTGTTAACTTGTTTAGTTGTTGAATGATGTTTCTGCCATCATCCATTTAAGACAAGAGAATAAGTATTGATTAAATGCATAAAATCTCTATAATGTAAGAGTATGTATCTGAATCTATTTTTTTTTACTTTTATTCATGTTTTTTCTTTAATATATTAAATTGTTTTCTGATGGGTAAAAATAATAAATAATTTCTAAATGAAACTAAATTTCAGTAAAGTTTTTTTTTTTTTTAAAGTAACACTTCCTATAGGTTAAAGGACAAACTAATAAAAAAAAAAAACAATGAAATTCTGAATAAACTTCTTAGAACCAAACAGAGACTAACATAAAAAAAAGATACTCACCAGAAATATTAAATAATCATACTGCTTAAATACTTTTAATACTAAATCCAACCATTTCAACATAAGAGGAGTCTGAAAAAAGAACAATTTAAATGTGAACAAAGGAGTTTATCTATATTAGTTTCTTTTTTGTTCAAATGCACAAATTCATTAATATTATTAACTAGCCTAGAAGCCTACCTTTGGATGGACTTTAGGCTAGCGCCTGTGGAGGGCTTTTGGGCCTATGGCCTTTTACCTGCAGCATCCTATGTATGTAAAAGTTATAAGAATTTAGAAATAATAAAATTATTTTATCTTTATTTGACATCTTAAGTCAGCATAACCTTTCTTCGTATAAGCAACCATTCTCCATAGTTTGTTTACATTTTGTGTGCAATTTTTATTTTCTTTTAAAATCACCATTCTTTATGATCCCTTCACATAAAAGTCACTCTTAAAAGACATTAGGGAACCCGAACTATGTAATATTTTGAATACGTCACAGTATACGTGCTAGAAAAAGAAAAACATATGAGAAATGTACCGTACACTGCTTAAGTTTTAATTACAGTTTAATTAGACGATATTGTTGCAGCCACCATTAGCCGCTCCTTAGAAAAACGACCTTGACCTTCACAACCCTCAATCTCGCAGATTTAAGTCCAGCAGCATGTGAAAAACTGGACGACTGGCCAATATGGTTGACTCCAAAACCATACCTCGTGAGCGTCAGATTAGACAGCGTTTCCCAAACATCGAACAACATGGGGAGTAATTTTATATTTACAGTTTTCTACTCCCTCTAGCCTGGGAGTACTTGAACAGTGTTTCACATATTGTCAGCCCCTTTTTTCGTCCAAATCCAAGCTGCTTGGCCTGGTGGCCTAGATCAAAGTGTAGTATGCTACCTTTGTGAGCTTCCGGTGCTTTGTCGAGAGAATACTCTTCGGCGTGATCCTGTTTCTGTGGTCGATCCACCCTGGAAGATGTATCACCTCTCTTCAGTTTTCTTCAAGTGTTACACTTTGGCGCGATCCCGCTTATGTGTTTGATCCGCCCTGGAAGTCGTATCACTATACTGACTCAGCCCTGTTTATGGAAACTTCGTGTGTTATCTATCAACCTGCCGCTGTTGCAAACAATTCTCCCATCCGACAGTCGACCAGCTACCGCCGCCAATCAACCCTACACTTGTTTCGCCAATGCAACTGAATCAACGTCCCCTGAAGGAAACCAGTCATACTGGACCCGACACCAATACAAACATATTTCTCCAGAGTATACTCTTGTACATTTTGGATAAATAAAATCGACGTTTATCATTTCAAAAAACCTCTGCCTTTGTCCCCTCATTGTTTTAGCTGTTCACACCTTTCTTCCAAAAGCTTGCGGGGGCGACATCCTTATCAGCCCCACAACAATATCAAATGCAATTGTGACAAAAAGTGAAATTAAAGTTAAGGAATAAATGAGGTTTCTTATGAAGCAGTTTAAACTTATAAACAATAAAAGTTTATCAAGTGCACATAATAGGGGAAATTATATATACTAGCCAAATTCCCATCTTATGAACATTTCCCTTAATAATATTTTGAAAATAATTCAGCAGATGATGTTATTTTATTTATGATAACTAGATTTTAGGCGATTGCCTTATTCGGTTTCCGTTGTTCATATTGTGTGTTTGAAAAATAACACTTTATTGTGGTTGTCATCGCTTCTCAGCCTTTTGGCTAAAATCAAAGTAAAATCTATTCTTATCAGCTTAATCTCATTCTCTCTCTCTCTCCACTTCTTTTTTTTTTGTTAGAAATTTTAAAATGAAATTATTGAAAAAAAGTTTGAACCACTTCTACACTTTTTTTTTTTGCATTTCTTCACTGAAACCAAGTAGAGTCTTTTCCCCACTTTCGACGTGATCAGAACAGAATAATCCATTATTTATGAGATATTGTCAGGACATAACAGTCATGCAAACTAATGAAAGGAGGAACAAGCATAATTAACATAATGACCATGAAACACGGGCTTGAATCTCACCATGGCTAATTTGTCAGAAAGCTGACTTCTTGATGTTATTGACCTAGGGAGGCAAACCCAGCATGCAGCACATTTGGAAAATGCTTGAAAACCATACCATGGGTTGACCCAAGCCTTGTGAGTGATACTGAGTAGCCAGAACTACTTGAGAATTGTCGATGGTTGTGTTAACACAAAGTCACAAGTCATTGTGTCCAAGAGTTTGAGCATACTGGCCTTGTTCAAACTGTTGATCATGCTAGATAATGCGCTCTCTCTCAGAAACTGTAACTAAGGTTCACTCAGCCTAGTTAGAGTATAAACCAAAGGTGGGCTATGTGGGTGTTGAGCAAACACAAATGTGCCTGAGTAAGTGTCTGCAACAGGGATTGGGTAGCCACCCTAAAAGACAGACATACTCAGATACAAGCAGCCAGCAAGTGTGTGTGTGTGTGTGTGTGTGTGTATAATAAAAAAAAAAGACAACAAGAAAACTGTATGCAGCTTTTATCCATCCATCCATCCATCCATCCAGGTTGACTGTAGTCAGTATCAGTGTGCCAATGTGAACAATCATTTCTTTAACTGTATAGTATGTGCTATGCTGGGGCTAAATACAGTTTTGAATTTAGAGTTACTTTCTCCTAGACTGGTTGCCACCCAAGGCTTATAGAACCCAGTCTGTCTTGCTATTTACCCATAGCGAGTGGGGAGAAGAAAAGGATTTATACCATTCCCAAGGGTATCAGCACGTAAGTGAATGTAATGGATCAAACTGGAATTTGAACTTGGCTCTTTGATTCCTCAATCTGAGCCACTATCCATTAATTTACCATGCCTCCTTGAATGTAGTTTTAGCAGATGCATTTCATCCACTGAGGACTTTTTCAAGGCAAAAATGAAATATATATTTGTACATTTATATCATTGGTAAGATTCAAAGGTTTTAAGGAAAGAGTTCTCTCTTCTTTTACATACTCAATGTTTTGTCTATGAAATTAGGAAACAAATACCCATTTTTTCATCCCTAAATTTTTTGTTGATGAGTATGAAGGCAAAAAAAATTTAAGTAGTCAGATATGTAGTTATTAGCTGAATTTTATTCTGACATGTTCACTGGATAATGAACATCATTAATATTCACCAATGAATTAAGTGTATTGTCAAGAAAGAAGATTATGTTAAAAACATTTGTATAAAATAAATTTTCATCATTAGGCTACAGACTTATTGATCTTCCTACATATAAATAGCATTTACATGTGTGCATTTATATTTAAATTTTTTTTTTTTTTTACTAATCTTCACCCAATACAAGGCCCAAGAGCCACTGAAGGTAGAGGGATACTGTGTAGTGTTGTACGAGCATAAGAAAGGACAAGAAGTTCTTGGGGCTATGTAGGATAGATTTGAAGAAGTCAAGATTTAATTAGTGAATAAAATTTCAGAGAACAAGCAGAGATGTTAGAAGCATAGAATTGAAGTAAACTTCAGAAGGAACTGGAAACCCAATCCTAACCAGGAAACAAGGGATAAACCTCTACATCTGTTCAAAAGACTGAGGAGGCATGTGAACTAGACGATAGGTAAACCTATCTATTCCTATTAAATATATTTGAAAATATATAAAGCATCTATATTATATGACATTTATTTTTCAATGATACTTTTTGTTAATGCACTTAATTTAGTTACAAATATTAAACACATACCAAATATTATATAGAGAAAATTTCATATCAAAATTCAACTAATAACTGTATCTTGGGGTAGGGACTCATCGATCTACATTTATGTTATATGTATGTGTGTGTGTGTGTGTGTATGAATGAATAAATAAATGTATGTATGTATTTTCTTTACTGATCTAGTTTCTCCAGGCAAGTCCAAAGAAACCTATAAATAAGTAGGTAGGTAGGTATATTTCAGTACTTATAGATGCATATATCCATAAAGATTTAGCATTTTGGAATTTAAAGGGAAGACTGGCACTCACCTCATGGAACAGGTCACCTGAATATGGAGATACATGTTCTCTTGTCAGGTAGATTCCTTCCATGACTGAAAATAAATTAAAATTTTCAATAACAAATCAAATCAAAGACAAATTGAATAAGAAAAATAATTTTTTACTCTTTGCGTTATTCAAACTGTTATGTATTTTCTTGCTTGGTATTTTCTTTTTTTAATCATTCGGGTAGCATCCTGTTTAGAAAAATTACTTTGAATTCAAAACTATCGAGAAAGCAACAAGGAAACCCCTTCACTATCATTCCCAAGGAAACCCACATATGTGTATATATATATATATATATACATACACTGTTATAGAATGGTGGTATATTACTCTTTTATTGTTAATAATGTGTTAGAATTTAATTTTTATGAATAATAAAAAGTTTCTGCTGTAACAATTTGAATATTTGTCTAATGAATAAATAAACAAGAGTTCATGAACGACATTCTGGCTTTTCAAAATCCTGAGTATGTTGTTATCAATACCTGAGCCAGTCTGGCTTTCAAATATGCTGATATCAAAGTATGATTTTACATGATCTAGTGATAGAGTAATTATTTTATCAAAGGTTACAGCTCTTGTCTTGACTTCTATGTGCCATGTACCTTCAGGATATGGGTGATTGTGGCTCATCACAACTTTCTATCCTTTGTAGCTCTTAGTAAGATTTGTCTTTTCGTCATCTCTCCCAATCCTGTTCTGCCATCCATTTACATAAGCTCATTAGGTAGGCTACTTGCTGCTTTCCTTTCTCCCTCTTACCTTCAATATACACAGTGAAGTGTCAGATTACCCAAGCCCTCTTTTTTCATTTTGTCCTAGAAATTTCAATTGTCTCTGATTTAAAGTGCAAGCATCTTTTTTGTTTCCATTTTCCTTAAAACTTCCTTATTAGCCACGTGTTCAGTTTATGTTATTCTCAGCATCCTTCTGCCAAACCACATTTCTGTTGCTTCAAGTATCTTCTTCATCTGTGAGGAGATTGTCCAACATTCATTATCAGAGGAGGACTGATACTACATAACAGTTCAGTAATCTTTTCTTTGTTATGACTACAAAATCAAAAATTTCAAGCAAAATATTATTATTTGTTGATATTCTATAGTGGATGACATAAGAAACTGCTTGTTTAGAACTCTTCAAACCGAGATGTCTCCTAGACAATAAGAGGAGTCATTTTATTCTTCAATCACTTTAAGTCTGTTTCATTTAATCAAGTCAACCAATGTCTGACTGAGAAGTTATCCAAACTCTTCATAAAGCCAATCTCTATTCACAAACTAATGTTGCTTTATTCAACAATAACAGAATGATGATGACAATGAGACTTTGGTTGTAACACCAAAACAAGATCCAGATTGGAAAACAGTTTTTAAGAAACGGACCATTTATATAAGTGAACCTTGATACATGAAAATTAATGACTAACATTTTACTTAAAATGCTACAAAAATCATTACAAACAGAATGAAATTATTGAATCTTTATATAAATTTCTATATGTTAGAAACAGGATCAAAGTCATCAGATAGATATGAACCTCATAGTATCAAAATTCATATATCATTTATATCTCCATTGGTAGTACCCAAGTTTATCTGTGAAAATTTAAGTAATTCCAACCATTCCTGGAATTGGATGAAGAAATTCATCTTAAATAATTGAGAGAGAGAAAAGTGAAATGAATAAGAAAGAGGAAATGTTTTTAAAAGAACATGACAAAATAAATGATAAAATATAAGATATATTGGGGGAATATATGAAACTACTACAGAGTCAACAAGTATTTGTATTAACTATGAATTTTTTTTTAATCATTTCACTAAGCAAGGCAATAAAATTACTAAAACACAAGGGATTACTGAGTGTGAAAAAATATGAGAAAAAGAAAATTATTATTGAAAGAAAACAATAAAAGAACAAGAAGACAGATAATAATGATTGACATTGCATTTAAATTTAAAAAAAATCAAAGTTGACTGGAAAGCAAGAAGCTGGAAGAGAGTTCCAGAAGCAAGAAGTACAATAGAAAAAACTGTTAGCATAGAACTTACGGCTACAACTAGTAATTTCAACTGTAAAATGATGAGGTCTTGCTTCAGATCTATGATGCTGCTTAAATTGTAAAGTTGGGGTACCAAAGAAGAAAAATCATCAGAATAATTACCATGAAAGTATTTATAGAACATACACAGGGAAGCTACATTATAGCAGTGGGAAACTGACTGAAGATGAGATGCTAGGTCAGGACTGATAACATTGCATATTCTTCGGATTTTATCAAGAATCTATAAATACATAGTAAAAACACCAGACTGTAACAGCAATATTCAATGCATGAATAAATGATAAACTTACAAATGTGTAAGACAGATTCTGGCAAGAAAAATTGTCTAGAATGATACAGTGAACCAACTTTCCTCACAGTAGAAGTAGCAACTGATTCAATATACTCTTTTCATTTCATCTCAGTGGAAAATGTTAACCCGAGAAGTGCTAATGGAAGGAAAAAAAAAGTTTTTTAAGATTACAAAAAGAGAGCAATTTTATTTTGGAGGTTTTAAAATTAACAAGCCATTTCTTGCCCCAGTTAAGAAATTGTAGATCATTTTGAGATCAGCTGTCAATTTAACCAGTCAGTCTTACCATGAAGACTGGAATAAATAGTTGTGTCATCAGTATAGATACAGAGTTAAGAACTGATGACATAATGCTAACTTTTAAAAGATTCAAATTGGTCTTCAGACAAAGTAGATCAATTGTTTATAAGAAAGTATTGTCATAACATGAAGATACTAAAAAAGCCTGATGCATGATTACTTAGGTATTGGGTAAATTCAATACAGAAATCAATAAAGAAATAACTTCATTAATCTTTAGATGACAGTGAGAAAACAATACTTGCTTTCTTTGTTGTTACAGATATAACTAATTACTAAAGTCAAAGTTGTCTGGATTAAAACAGCTGAGGAAATTATCATTAACTTTTGTAGACAAATTCCTTCTTAAAACAATAATTAATGAAGTAGAAGGGGGAGAGATATGTTAAAGAGAAATAGAGAGGGATGCCTTTCTCTGCATATTACCTAAAATCAGAATTGACTTTCTTTTTAATAGATAAATAGAATGAGGCAATACTTGAATTCTAATGTCAAATGTTTAAAAAATTAAAATAGAACAGAAAGCCAACCTGACTCAGTAATTTAAGCTTTTTATACATTAAGTCACATATGAAGGCAAACATTTGTTGATAAATACAAATGCATCAAGGTCATGTTTATTGAAAGTCCCAATACAAAATAATCAACAGTGTAAGAAATTGACCAAAGAAAATTTTACCAACAAAAAGTTCATAGTCTTTACTCTGTAATTTATAACTTGCTTGTCTTCAGAATTCCATTAATTATATAATTACAAAAAGAACAGACATTCTGTAAAATATTAATTTGCAAAATAGTACATAATCAATTCTAAAATGCTTACATGACATTTAAGAATAATCACAAGATAGAATTTTAATAGGTTTTCAAATTCCCATTTCAAGCATAAGCTGATATTTTCAGCACACTTTTATAAAAGTGTCTGAATTATTAAGGGTTGTTTTTATTTTTTAGTGTATTTCCCTTCATTTTACAGTCCAGAATTTCAAACTGGTTAAAATATCCAATAAATACTTGATTATGTAAAATGCTATTTAAAAAATCCCAGTTATCAGGCATGTGCAAATGTTTCCAGTGATTTTTTTTTATATGTAAAAAAATTTTTTTAAAGTTTTCTACTGTACTATTATTCAAACTAGTAGATACCTCCATAAAAATCACTGAGAAAAAGAAAAAAAAAGGGAAAAAAGAGTAACTATGATGAAAAAAATGACCCAAACTTGATAAAAACTAGATTTTATCAAAATCTTGGTTATAAATTTGAAAGACCAAAGTATTTTTTGATTATTTAATTATATTTTTTAATCTTTTTTAGAATATTCAAAATTTTAGCAAAAAATCTTGATTTTCTTGTGTCAGTGGATGAACTGTAAATTGGCATAGCAAATTTTAGCATCTTTTTATGGTGAAAGATATTTTTTGCAAAAATCAAATAATTGTCAGATTTTAATGAAATTTTTTTAAAAAAGTTACACCCCACTTAATTTTATGAAAACTTGAGAAATTCAAAGAGATAATTTTTAGTGACTATATAGTCACTAAAAATTATCTCTTTGAATTTAAAAGCAGAACTCCTTGGATAATTTAAATCAATTTTTTTTTGTAAAATCAGACTATGTCTTACCGAAAATCTGCTCTGAATCATAAAATAATAAAAATGCAATAAAACTAAGACATTATTTAATTTGAAAAGCTTTTAATTGCTTTTATGAATAAGATATATTAACAACACTACTGTCTTAAGAAGAAAAAAAAAACGCTTTTGATGAATAATGAACTTTTACAAGATTTGTTTTCATTTTTTTTTAAATAGAACAATTTATAAAGTTTTTAAATCTTTTAAAATTCAGTTTCAATGGTGTAATGGCTAAGGCATATTGTTATCAAGTAAAACTATATTTACTAATCAGAAATCGAATAGCTTATTACAATCTGAGGTATAACAGTATTTTAAAAAGAATTTTGAATTGTTTTTGTATGTGTATAAATGTACCAACTTTTGTAGATACAGAAGTTCATACACAACATTATAAGAAAAATAGCAGCGATAACTATATTAAATTTAAAGCCAAAGTATCTAAAATTCAATAAAACATTAGATTACAGAGAATATTTTCCTAAATTTTTAAGATTATTGAGTACTTAAAAATTATATATATATATATATATATATATATATATATATAAAGGTGCTCACTTTATTCTTAATTATTTTTTATGGATAAAGGCTGTCAACATATCAACAGATTAAATAAACAGCTACCAGCATGTTAAAAAAATGAATTTCTGCAATATTTTAAACTTAAAATAATTAATATTTGTTTCAAATAAGATTAATTATACTTTAAATCAGCTAATATTCCTCAAATAAAGTTTCAGAAAAGTATATTTTATTTTTGGAAGATTTTTAATAAAGAGAATTACATTCTGAATGATAGGTGAATAAAAAAATTTCAGCAATTTTGAATCGAAAACTCCTTCCAGTCAATTTAAATTAGTTTTGAAATCGAGCAAAGTATTTTGCTTATTTGGAATATTAAAAAAATATAAATATAAAAATATATAAATACCAAACTTTGCACCAGGCCGTAGTCAGTCAACTAAAAATGCCTCTCAAACCTGCGTCAAGCGACACCATTTCTTCAAATAGATAAGCAAAGCGGCGAGAAATTTAAGACTCATTGATAACTGAAACTACGAGCCAGAATAATACGCTTCTATTAATTTTTTTCTTGTAAACTGAGTAATGACAATGGCATTTTAAAAGAATGTATGAACTTTCTCTATATCAGACACATGTCCACTTTTACGAAAATATCAAATAAGATTGTTTGCTTAAGTAAGTAAAGATACATCCACAGAAAATAAAACTTTTTTACAAGCAACTTTTTATGCGTAAATTGCGGTTTTAAACCACACTTAGGAAATTTAATTAATTGTAACCATGACTAATTACTAAATTACCAACGCCGCTACCAACAAGCTTGGTGCAAAGCAGTAAGATTAAGTAAGAAGAGGTTTGAAACTAAAGTATGATTTTTGGAGTTACAGCCAGTGTTAGATCGTCGGATTATTAGAACTAGTGAGTGCTGAAAATTGAAAGATTTTCAGCCCGACCTCCTGACCAAATAGATTTTTTTTTTAAATCTCTTCTTAGCTAGATAAAATATTTTGTATTTTATAAAAAAAAAAAAAAAAAAAAAAATGGTACGTTCAAATCTTAGTCTATTGATTTCTACGTTAAAATTCGACGTTAAAGCTGAGTACAAACACACCGTTTGCGAGGGAAACATAGGTTAAATTAAAAATTCATTCACACTTCAAAAAAAAGTAACTTAGTTTTTTTCACTAAATTTGATAGAGTAGAGAAGTGTAAAACAATAAAAAAAAAATTTACACAAATTCTCACAATAAAAAATTGAATTCTTTACTTCAAAAGGCCAATGTATGTAATTTGTAAATATTCCCGTTGTTAAGTTTAATAAAGTTCTGCTCCATTAGGTGGAATCAATTTTGCTTTTTGAAATATTTTTTTTGTTCAGTTTTCTTTCAATCATCAATTTTATTATTCTTCAGAGAACAACTAGGTCATACAAGAAGTCAGTTTATTGGAAATTGTAAGTAAAAGAATATCCTAGTTTATTCACACCATATCGATAAGAACATCTTAATCCGAGGGTAAAGAAAGATTTTCCAATAAATTTACTTACGTATTTTACCTGGGAATAGGTATCATCAGGGTTTTTAACTTTTATTTAAATTTATTACTGTTGGTTCAAATAAAAACGGTACTTTTTCACTCATTTATTTTTTTGTATTTATTAAGAAATAAGAAAGAAATATGTGGAGGTAAAAAAAATCGCATTATTTATTTTACACAATCTTAATGGAAATTTGTTTTCACCTCAATTATTTGTTTTATTTTCGCCACATGACATGATCAATAAAAAATGTTAAATTACGTAAGAAATAAGCAGCAGAGGAAAGAAAAAGACAATTTGTTTCCTCTTATAGATTTCTGAATAAAATAATCATACTCAAACCATTAAAAACGTGCCATAGAGACTAAAGAATAAGGAAAAGTTAACTTTAAACGAAAAGTTAAACAAACTAAAAAGTAAAAAGGATTAATAAAAAAAGAAAGTGAAAGATGTTGAATATAGACTAGTAAACTTGCAATAATAAAAATATATGAAACTAACAGAAAAATGTCATTTAAACAAATATAAACAGAAAGTGTGATTAAAAATAGATTAAAAAGCATATCCGTTTTTAAAAATAGTAAAAAAAAAAAAGTATATTGATAATAAGTGCACGTAATGAAGTGGAGAGTTTTTTGTTGGTGTGCCGGTCTGCCTCATCCCAATACTGACTACTAACTGCCAAATTTACATTGTTTCTTTTTTATTGAAAATTTATTAAACACTCACCCCGTTTCCATGATGTAAGAGGAGTTGATATCTCCACTCTTGAGGCCAACCAACCCGGAAAGCTGGTCTTAAACAGCCAAAAGCGGAGCCCAAGTCCGACCACAAAACAAATATGAACGATGATTGCCATGGCACTGCGGAAAGAGCGTCGGTTTCAAGGGCGGTGAAAGATAAATTAGTTCCCTTTAAAAAGAAATGCCAATTTCATATTTTTCAGTTTTATTTTTCTTACATTTACGTTTCTGGGTAACGTAAATTAAAAAAAAAAGGTTGCTGAACTGGGTGTAAGGTACAAAGGAAGATTAAATTATTTTTATAAAGCAGAGATGGTTAATAATTAGCTTGAACTTTCAATAATTGCTAGTTTTACAAAAACAAAACGCCGATAAGGCGAAGAAAGGAAATTTTTCTAGTTTTTCCACTTCAGCATTTTTTATTTATTTATTTTTATTTTACCGGAGCTACCTAAAAATTGATTTTAAAGTCAGGAGGAAGAAACTCACTTACATTTTTATGTATAATAATTTAATTTCAATAATTACATTACTGAGGGAAAATGAAATAAAATCACTAAATAAACTAATAATAATGAATAAAAAATAAAACAAAACAAAACAAAAAGTAATACATTTTCCCATGATGTTAGTAATTTTGGAGTTTTTTTATTTAATTGTTTACATGCAAACACCCCCACCTATAATACACTAAGCAACCTTTACATATCATAACTTGTGATTAATACATTAAGAAGAGTATGTATCAAATGGTCTATAATGGACTTATTAAAACACATAATTTATTCTGGAAGAATGAATTTAATAAGGGCATTTGAATATACTTTTATTTTATTTATTCATTTATGCATTCATGCATGGCAAAGTTACTTGATGTTACCCAGGTTATGGTTCAATACAATACTTTTCAATTCAAGTAATGCTTCCAAACGTTGTTTAGACAGTTAAGCCTACTTCTTCATATAATTGATGTTAGTAAATTTCAGTCAGTCCATTCTTCAATCTTTGTCAAATGTATATTCTGTAAGAAAAAAGTAAAAAAAAGAAAAAGGTAAAAATATTGTTGGATTTCCCCACTTGTCTGCCAAATCATTTCCACTAATGACTGCTAAATAATGTTACCAAAGGAAGTACACAAGAAAAAGGTGTAAAATCTCAATCTCTTTTTTTTCTTTTCAGTCACCAACAAATGTTGAATTGAATAGTACACAGCATATAAATGCTTTGAGTTTATTTAACTACATACAGACATCATACTTATTATAAAACCCAGGTTGTGTGTGTGTGTGTGTGTGTCTGTTCGTTTATATATTGGATCGAATTTCCTACATTTTTCGACCGATTTCAACAAAACTTCACAGGACTACGTAAAATTACCTTGCGGTGGTTCTGACAGCGGCAAAAATTGGAAAAACACAATTGTTTTTGCACGAAATCAATTTGAAAACACGATTAAGAGGCATCGCAAGAATGAAAGGGGACAACTCATATCGAGTTATACTTATTATAAAACCCAGGTTGTGTGTGTCTGTGTGTGTGTGTGTTCCTTTATATATGGGATCGGATTTCCTACATTTTTCAACTGATTTCAACAAAACTTCACTTTTTTTTGGCAGGTAGTGTTTCTTATTGTCTTGCACACTTTTTCTTTATTTTTACATTCAGAATGCTTTAAAAATTCCATTTACAAGACAATTGTTTATAATAAAATTCTATTCAATCGGTAGACTCATAACGATTGAAAACAATGTTTTTCTTTGAGTTTGGGTTTGACCAATTCGTAAAAAAAAAAACTAATTAAGACATGCGTGTCTGTCAACCTTAAACAATAATCTTTGTCAATTTAATTTTTCAGTCTTTATGATGGCTGATACTTGATCTATCTCTTACTGTTTGTCATACCTGATGTACCTATTCTATTATTAATAGACTCTCCCACACATAATAAGTAGTAGTAGCGGTGGCCAGTTCGGCTCAGTGGTGTTGAGTGAGTCAGACGATATCGGACATTGAAGTACCAACCATCACAACTAGATTGCTGCGTCATTAACTCTTATTTCCAAGTTCCTAACATTTTGTACATCGAACCTAATTTAGGACGACTTATTAAAATACAAGCCTCCACCATGAAAACTACTCTACAACACTGTTAGATCCCTGGACAATGCCGGGCTCTACTGCTAGTACATAATAATTCTATTAAACCAACAAATAACTCTTTTCAAAATATAAATCCTTTGACATCATTCATATGAATTTTACACACATCCTGCTGCCAACATTAAAAGATGGAAGTGACTAGCAAACAATGAGAAAAATAAAAGGAAGTTGCTAGAAAATTTCATTTTCTGATTCATCAAAATGCAATAAAATTAGAATGAAAGAAATCTAAAATAAACATTAAACTAATTTATCTACATTTTTAGTTTTTACTAATCAGGTATCAGCATTTGCTGAGTATGTTGAATATGGGATAGGAATTGTTCATTCATAATATATGTGTAATTGTCTGTGAGGAACATCATTATGAATTTCAGTACCTTTGGAATAAAGCTGTAAAAGTTTTAGTGGTAGCATCTTGGTCACAAGAAGTGTGGAATCTGTAGCAGGTTGAATGTGTGGCCCCAGTGAATAAAAATTGCCAGCTTTTGTAGGTTTTTGGGAGTTCTAAAAAGCTTGGCATTTTTTTTTTTTAAACTCAATTCTGACCACTTAAAAAGTGTTTCTGCAACCATGTGGTGTGTTCTCTGCTACATCCAAATCTGAAATCATGTGATTTTTAAATTTGGAGTGATGATCACTAGCTATAAATTTTTGACACTTTTGTCAGAATCCTCTTTTGGAACATCTTTTTGTTTTAATACTGACTAAACCTATTTTAACTGCTAGATAAACTTAGAAAATTTTCTACTTAAGTAAAGATCCTAAAAAAATGGCATGTTAAAACTGATCTTGGTGAATATTATATAAATAGTATATTAGTATTCATTTGAGCTGGTGGTATTGGATTAATTCATATTAGCTGTACAGAACTTTACTGAGTATCATAGAAGTAAAAACTATACTGATATAAAAACAAGCTAACAGTACAGGATAATGATGTTTCTTAAAATGCACTTCTAAATTTGTATATTAATAATAAATATACATTTTTTCTTTATCAGTAGCACGAATGAGTCTCATGTAGGCATAAAAATAAATATTTGTTGAAATAAGTTGACCTAGATTAATTTTTAATGTAAATTATGACCTTACTCGTTTTTAGTTTTTTTTTTTAACAAAAACTTTATAAAAAAAATTAAAAACAGAAGCAGTAATCTCCCTTTATGCTTAATAAAAAATTATTCACAACTTTAAATAAAAATTAATATTTTTTCATTTTTTATTATATATATATAAAATAAAAAAAATCCTGTCTATTTTAAATGAAAAATATATTTAAAAATAAAAAACTGTAATCCCTGTATAATATATGGACTATGCCAACATTGTGTTCAGTTAAACCAAATATTATTAAAATTCTAACTACGTAACGAACCCGTCAGTCTACTCAGCACCTGGAAATTGCGTTGAACATGAAACTTTGATTTGTGCTACTCGTGAGGAATACACAAACACACACACATAATAAATACATATATATATATATGGCCCTTAATTTCCTTACAAACAATTATTTTTATTTCATGTGTGGATTTTGCATTAATTTTGTTTGAATTTTGATTATTCCTGAATTCATTTCCAAGTTAAAACTTGTTCGTACAAAAAAAATTTGTTGCAAAAAATCACGTTAAAAATCGCCGAAAACAACTGCAGTAATGAAAACTTGGGAATCCAAAATTTCAGGATTACGGATCCGGATCCAGCAGCACCAGTATGTTTTTTTTTTTATTTGCTCACACGGAGTCGGCCTGATTCCAAATGAAAATGGTGATATGTTGTGCTCACGGCCTCTAGGAGTAAATTTGAAAAAAGTGTGACACAGTAACACACTGACATATACAGTGGCGATTCTACAGGGGGCCATAAGGGGCCAATGTCCCCCGCCAGAATTTTGTCTGCCATCACCCCACCCCACACCCCCATTTTTGTAGAGGAAAAAAATCAGAGCAGACAAATTACGCTGTTCTGCTAGTATTGACGTTTTAACCATTTGATTTTGTTTTGAAGTTTAACCTCTCTTGTGGTCCAACAGCTAGAGAGTGGAAAAGACGGCAAGAATAGATTAGAACTTCACTACTTATGAATGAAAATTTATTCCGTTTAAAAATACTTATACTAAAAATCTCATTCCTTGGGAAAGTAGGAATACATCTTTTATTCCCCAGCTATTGGTTGAATAGCAGTACAGTCTACCGCAGAAAGAAACGGTGATCTGCTGCGGGAAAATCTTCTGCCTAGTCGCATGAATCGAGAGAGACATGATCGCCAAAGCGTGTAATGGCACTTAACTGATTGATTGACTTTGTTTCATAAATTTTTCAGAGAGTTATCCCCCTTAGACTTGCTACACGGAAAAGAACAGCAACTTGACTGTTCTTCATCTTTTTAGTCTTTAAATGTCGATTCAAATATTTTCCTCAGTAAGATTTTCCTACCTGTACAAAATATTTATAAAGCGATCATTAGCCAATTTTACACCGAAATTTCAAATCCAACTTTATAAAGTTATTTGTTTTTGATTGGGAGTAGTTTGAAAGTGAATAAAAAGCAATTTTATTATCAAATAGAGTGGTGCTTATTTTATTTTCAAGGGGAAAATGGCTTATTTTATTTATTTAAAAATAATACATTTTCAAAAATGAATATATTTATGTATAATGTTTTCAGATTGATTAGATATTTTCTAATTGTTAATTTATGATGATCTAATACTAAAAAATCTGTGGTAATTAATAATAGCTCTAATTCATTCCATAAACAAAGATATAAAAATTTATGTGAAAAAATTACAACCTTATGCCTCTTACAACTATCTAACAGCAAAGACATTATTAACCAATGAAGTGTTCTGATGAGACTTTTCTTAACCCTTGATTTTGAGCAGTGGCGTAGCTAGAGTAAACGTCACCCGGGGTGGTCCGCTCAAATGTCACCCCAATGACCCCGATTCACC